CATCAATTATAACGTACTACCATGTTGCCTACTTGCATAGATGCCTAGACTGGATGCACATGCACCATTGGTGCACACCCAACCAACTACAACCCATCAGTGCGTTAATCCAGGACAGACCACCGACCCCATTGGAACAGTTCCGATACCACCAAGTTAAGACATACTATGGGTCCCTATCTGGTCGGGGACTGATACACAGATCTCTGACACAGTTCGAGATGCTCTGTGCCAGGAGGGAACAAGTCACAAAGGGTATCTCAACCATGTACACACTGCTTATCTCCAATAGAGGTGACATAGCACTCAGGTACACAAGTAGGTGGGAGAGGGACACTTGAGTCTCCCTCTCAGACCAGGAATGGGACAAAATCTTAACCATCACCCACAAATGCTCCATTAGCTCTAAGTTCCAGGAAATGAGCTACAAAGTGCTAACATTCTGGTACCGGACGCCAAACGTCCTACACCGGATGAACGCAGCTACTCGTGTGGGCAGGACGAGGGGACCAACCTCCACATATGGTGGTCATGCCACGCCATTGCCCCTTATTGGCAGCTGATACATACTAAGATATAGGAAATCACTGGCACTGCCCTAGTGTTTCGACCTCTGACCATGTTGCTGCACCACACCAAGACAACACTGAAACACTACAAACAATCAATGACCCACTGAATGTTGTGGCGGGGTGTTGGCCTCTCAGTAATAGTTAATCATAAGATAGAATTCCCATTTTATGACAGGTGAGGCCCTCTCTATGCCACATTGTGAGGTGACTAACTATGATTTGACCCGAGGGGCGTAATATCTCCGAGTATGAGGATGGGTGTTGGCATCGCGGGACCACTAACCTAAGGCGAAGAAGCCAGGGGAATTACAACAATTGGACACCTAGGACCTTGACAGCCAGCCACAGCTAACTAAGAGAGGAGGGTAGCGTACCTGAGGAATGTGTATCGAAATGTGGGGGTGTACGAGGACGTGTCGTAAGGCCGAACGTATCTGGAGTGCAGAATAAGCAGGTCAGAGTCCAGGTGGTCAGGCCGTATGGAGTATGCCTGGAAATAGGTAATAGAATTTGTGTTGGTGTATAGCCCACTGGGCTCATATGGGCCAGATCGAGGACCCAGGAAAAAAACACGAAACATACCTTCTGGAAAATAATGTAAAACGAGAAGTATGGTGGTCAAACGTGGCCCAACCAGGCAGAGAACAAAAACCTGAAAGAAGAACACGGGTCAGACTTAGCGATGGGGCTGAAGAACCTCGGTATGAAACTGGAACCTAGAACCGGAAAAAAGAAAAGAAAAAGCAGACCTGCGTAAAAACCAACATGTAATGAGGGAGAACACACACCAAATAAACAAGCAAGTAACACAAACCACAGAAAGAACACCAGAACAAAAAAACACAAAGAAAATAAAAAATTTTTTTCAGTAAACGGCATCAAAAATAACCACTAGGGGTCAGCCAAACGCCAGGAACAAACCCATGAGGTGAGGGGGGATATTCGACTGCAATCATGCGAACACCTACAAGGAGCGAAACCACATTCAAACAAAACTTCACGGAAACTCTATCCGGCCATAGGGCTTTCGTGCAGAAACCCATGCGAAGCCACCGAAGCAGCGGGCAGTTCGCGGGAAAACACGCAAACTCAACATAGCCACGAAACAGGCAAACGTGAACGATGCAGATCATGTGCCCTCCCCAAGCAACAGGAAGGTGAGAAAACTCCCGAACGGTGAGACCAACTCGTCCGGGAGTTTGCGAACGACATGAGGAAAACTAAAAAACATACAAAAGGATAGAGCGGAGAATAGACCCAAACCGTGAGGACGCCGTGGGACTGCAACCGTGGCGTGACGATAGGGTAAGTATCTTATGTTTCAGAAGAGTTGTCTGTATGGATAGCCGAGGCTTGGAGCGCAAGGGATGACAGGAGAGCAAGATCAAAGCCCAGAAGGACCGCGGACCAGTGAACAGCAGGCCAGGCAACAAAAACCACGAGGACCAGGTAAGGGAGGAAATGACGACCGGAAATAGCACTAAAGCACGTATGAGACGGAGGAAGGTGAGTAGCGGGTTTAAATAGGGTAACATGCCCAACCCACAAGTGCAGGCCAAGACTTTACATTTATGTTGCTTACTCTGTAATAATATTTAGCAGCTAGGCTTCAATAACAAAACGTAATGTGCAAACATAAAACCCTAGAGGATGTCAAAAAGACTACCAGGCTAAACCGACATGTCTGATCATAGGACAACAGCTAAACTTGTAATGGACTATATCTGGTTAGACATGTGGAGAAAGACTAAATAACAGCGCAAATTAGGTAAGGGTTTCAAAATTATGTTACCACTGGACTAGGCTTTCTGATGGGTCACTGCTTTACAAAACTTAAAGGACACTATAGTAACCAGAACAGCTACAGCTTATTGAATTTGTTCTGGTGAGTAGAATCATTACCTTCAGGCTTTTTGCTGTAAACACTGTCTTTTCAGAGAAAATGCAGTGTTTACATTACAGCCTAGTGATAACTTCACTGGCCACTCCTCAGCTGTTAGAGATCTTTCCTGGGTCATGGCTGCCTAAAATGCATCCAAACACTCAGTATCTCCTCCCTCTGCATGCAGACACTGAACTTTCCTCATAGAAATTCATTGATTCAATTCATCTCTATGAGGAGATGCTGATTGGCCTAGGGCAGTGTTTGAGTCATGCTGCTTTTGCCCCTTTATCAGTCTCAGCCAATCCTATGGGGAAGCATTGTGATTGGATCTGGCCACCACTTTAGATGATGCCAGAGGAAGTTCACAGGTAGAGGCAGCAGCTTTAGACTTCAATACAAGTAAGATTTTACTATCTTTAGGGAGGCAAATAGTGGTTTTAACACTATAGGGTCAGGAATACATGTTTGTGTTCCTGACCCTATAGTGCTCCTTTGGAAAATGGAAAAGAAACTAAAAATTAAAGAAAATCACAGCAGATAGCAGAGTCCAGCATACTGATCGATGTGTTGCGGCGCTTTGTAGGTCTACCACCCGACCTGGAGCTGGCGAATGTGTATCAAAACAGGTAAGTCTGATGGACTTAGTGTGGAGCATATCCCAGGCAGAAAATCAGTCCATCTAGGTGAGCAGGACAGCAAAGCCACAAACCTGGTTTCTATCAAAGTCGAGGGTCCTCCTGTCCGGGATGGAGAGGTGAGCTTGGCTGGTCATTAGTGTGAGTTGTCGCTTGTGCCACGCGGCTCTCCGTTTGTGTGGCTCTCAGCCTAGGCGAGCAGCGTAGATGATGGATTGAGGTCTGAGGTTGCGTTGAGCCCTTAAGAGGCTTCCCAGACCTTACTTCACCGCGTCTCCACTCTCCCTCAGAAAAGACTTGTTCAGCCGATGCTGGTCTCATGTGTTTCAGTAGTTTTGCCTAGAAGCGTGCAAATATAGCATAAATTCAATATCCATAGAGCATGGATATGGGCCTGGGAATTCCGCATGGAGTAGTTGTCCAGCCGGAGATTGTTTAGGGACTCACTATGAGGCTAAAAAATTGTGGCAGACCAGATCAGCAGGGACCGGGATAACCCCCACCAGTCCAAGGGGGCGGGGGGAGAATGAGAGCTGAGTTGCAATCCAGCACTGTGTGATGCAGTAGATCGGCCGTGTCTCCTGCGTAGGATTGTGGGGTAGGCCACAGAAGCCGGAGCCCTCACCAAAATGCCTTCCTCATGGAAACATTGATGCAAGATGGGCACAGGTAAGTTGTATAGTCACTGGGTCTGTTGGCTGTAAGATAGGACCATCTTGCCTTCAGATTTTAGCATTAAGCAAGGTGAGTGAAGTGGAAATCAACCCAAATCGATTGATTATTCTTTGTGTATCTGCCCCTGACCAAATTAATGAAACAATGCGTGCACGCTCCCTGAAGTAATTCACACCAGACACAAGTTTCAGGTAGTTGAATAACTTGAGGAATGTTTATTCAGAGGGGACGGCAAGTCCCTTTTAAAGCAAAATTACATCATAAGCATTGTCAGAGATAACATGGAATAATAAGGTATCAATTGGTTAGGTGTTAAGTAGTTATCTTAGTGCTCTGCCTACTAGAGGTGATGTCACTGAGACCATGAGGGTCTCCCCCAGATCTCAGCGCCATCTTGTTACACGAGGTAGTTAGTCGAGGTTATAAGGAGGGAGGGGTTAGAAACTTCTAGTAGCCATTTTGTGTAAATATGCGTGAATAGCTTATCTACTGATTTCAGTGCAATGGGTAAATAGACATTTTACTAACTACAAAGTTATGTGTATATATTCATGTTTTATTTCCACAACAGTGAGATTGAGGGGCTCTCAAAATCCATGTCTTGTCAGCTCGGTGGACAGGCCATGCCCCTACAGGAAGTGAATTTTAATATCCAAATTTTCCTAATTTGTGCAAACATCCACCCCACAAGCAAAATTAATAACTAAACTGGATGTTCAGTTGAATATTTCCATTAATAGTTCACATCGCCTCCCTCCCTGGCATGCTTTGCCTTTCAAATTGATGAAAAACAGCATGCATGGCAGAGGTGGCACGGCATTCCATGGCCAAATTGCCAGTGGGCCAAGCTAAAGACAATTGTGTTTACTAAAAAGCACCTTACTCTATGGGAAAACAGCCGGGGTTAGGGCAGAGCCACATAGAAGGAAAAGGCAAAAAGGTGTACAGAAGGGCTTGGGTGGACAAAGAGGCACACAGAGGGATTGGTGGGAGAAGAGAGAAAGACAAAGGGTCTGGGGGAGAAATAGACACACACAGGTGCTAAGAGAGACACACAAAGTTGGCAAATTTTGTTTTTGTTTTTGGTGCGGGTGAATGTTTTCATAAAGACATGTTATCTGTGCGATTGTAACACTGTGAGAGCTTCTGTGAAACAGAGCTGCGACCTCGGTGCCTGCAAACCCAGGCCGCTCTGCCCTCCCCGGGTACCCCTCCCTCCCTGCTCTGCCCCTCCCCCGGGTACAGCCCCCCCCGCCGCTCTCGGAAGTGCTCGGTGACCCAGGGCGGGGCTGGCTCCATGCCAGGCGGTGTGTCCCCGGTTTTCAGCAGTCGAGCTCGGTTCGTGCTCCCGGTGCCCTGCATGTGAGGCGGGAAGATGGCGGATCTCCGTGCCATGGGGCTGGCTGCGGCCGTCCTGGCTGCCTCGGGCGGGCTGGCACTGGCTGGCTGGGGGTATCTCTGCAGGAGGAGGAGAGGGGAGAACAAGGACATCGCACAAACAGAGGGACAGAACAGCCGGGTGATCGCGCTCACTGAGACAGAACCAGAGACCCCAGACATCTCCAAACCAGGGGAACTAGAGACCCCAGACATCCCCAAACCAGGGAAACTAGAGACCCCAGACATCCCCAAACCAGGGAAACTAGAGACCCCAGACATTTCCAAACCAGGGAAACTAGAGACCCCAGACATCTTCAAACCAGGGGAACTAGAGACCCCAGACATCCCCAAACCAGGGAAACTAGAGACCCCAGACATCCCCAAACCAGGGAAACTAGAGACCCCAGACATCCCCAAACCAGGGGAACTAGAGACCCCAGACATTCCCAAACCAGGGAAACTAGAGACCCCAGACATCCCCAAACCAGGGGAACTAGAGACCCCAGACATTCCCAAACCAGGGAAACTAGAGACCCCAGACATCTCCAAACCAGGGAAACTAGAGACCCCAGACATTCCCAAACCAGGGAAACTAGAGACCCCAGACATTCCCAAACCAGGGAAACTAGAGACCCCAGACATCCCCAAACCAGGGGAACTAGAGACCCCAGACATCTCCAAACCAGGGGAACTAGAGACCCCAGACATCTCCAAACCAGGGGAACTAGAGACCCCAGACATCTCCAAACCAGGAGAACTAGAGACCACAGACATCCCAAAATCCAAGGAAGTTGAGAATCAGGAGATCGCACAAACCAAAGAAAAAGAGGTCCCAGACATCCCAAAATCCAAGGAACTGGAGACCCAGAAGATTTTACAAAGCGAGGATTTAGAGATTCCTACTGAAAATCAGAGCTATGACAGCTTTCATGAGTCTGCCGCTTCCACCCAGCACCAGGTAACCATATTGATAGTGACCATCTGCAATGTCCTGCCAGTCTTACAGTTCATCCTGTTATATGTTAGAGCACAGCCTTGGATAATGCATGTTACAATGTGGTGAGATGTATCAAAGTTTCCCGCCCTGAAAAGTGGTGCAACGTTCGAAGTGTGTCTGTCACCATGGAAACCTGAGGATTCATCCCAGGGCTTTCATTGGTCACTACTCCTGGATCTCAACTTTGCACCAGATTTCAGCACAGGCTAATATAACTCCTCTTCAATGTCCTCTTTTACAATGTACCGAAAAAATTATAATCGTATTACTTTATAAATTGCTCTATTGTTATTTGGCTTGATGGATGCTAAAGCAGAATCAAAGTAGGTGCAGACTTGAATGGAGTGTGAAGAATTTGAGTTTCTCTTTTAACAATACTTGTAAACTGTTTATTGTGACTGTTTAGATTTATGACCATCTCCCTCTGAAACACTGGGTGTGGGTTGAAACAGTTTCAACAGGTATATGCATGTTACACTTCACCTCCACTTGCTCAAAATGCATAGAACTATAAAACACATTGTTTTATATTAGTTGAAGAGAGCACTCTGATTGGGTGGCTTGAAATCCATCCAATCAGAGTGCTCTGTGTCATTTTACACAGTAGGAAAGTTCTTTGGAATTTCCCCACACTGTGTAAAATGACAAAGAGCACTCTGATTGGCTTAAACCAACCAATCAGAGTGTTCTTAGCCTAATTGCAGGGCGGGGCAAGGCTTTATAAACCTTCCCCACCCTGCAGAGCCCAGTCTGCGCGGAGCCCTCCATGGGTGAAGATGCGTTTTTGGGTTTTTTTCGCTCTGGTTTTTTTCTTTTTCGTCAGTGTTTTTCTTTTTTGCGCTCGTGTTTTTTTATTTCATTTTGAGTTCGACAGGTATGATGGTTTTTTATTTGGCCTTTTTTGGGGCTGAAAAATGAAGATTTTAGAAAAAAAGATGTCAATTGGTAAGTTGAATTTTTCTTTACAGGTTAGTTATTTTATTCCCCCCTCACTATTTTTAGTGTGAGGGGGGTAGGTAGGGGATAGTTTTATCTGGGTGGGGGGATGGGTGACTATGAACTTGGGACCCCTAGTCACCTTGATTGGGGGTGAGTGAATTTTCATTTAGGGCCCCCACCCGCCACTCAGTAAAATGCTTAAGTGCTTTCGGAAGTCTCCATTATTTCTGTATATACAGTTCCAGGCTACCTGCACCTCTCATTGTAGTCCTTCTGCAGATCAGAGAGGATGCTAGGTTTACTGTAGTTACTGTGTACAGACACTCCTCACTTACCGACCAGGTTCCGTTCTTACAACCTGGTAGTAAAACGAATTGTTCAGTGAGTGAGGATGCGCAAGGTAGCAGGAATTTCCCCGAACATAGATCAGTTCACTAGCGCAGGGAATCCCACAAATCTATGTTCGGAAAAACTTTCCTGAACATATACTAGCTCTCTAAAGTGGGAAATCCCTTGAATCCCCACGCTAGAGAGCTGGTTGTAAGTGAGCACGGTTGTAAAACAGGTAGGTCATAAAGTGAGGACCATCTGTACCTGTTAGGCTAGCACAAGGTGTACATGAATCATGCCATTTTATTCCTGAGAAGAGTCCTTTTGGCACTGTTGTGTTTGGAAGTACATGGGGTACTTTACTTTAAGAGTTAATTTGGTGCCACACTGTTATGGATAACATCTTTTGAATATTGTCCTTTAATGTCAATGGTTTAAATAACCCCCCACAAGAGGCGATTAGCCTTCTTAGAAATGCAAAAGGCTAAGGCAGCTATTGTCTGCCTTCAGGAGACCCATTTCTGTGCTTAAACACACCTGGTCCGACCATGCACCACTTATTGTTGCCTTCAGTTCACAATATCCTGCCCGTGGCAGGGGTAAGTGGAGATTGAATGAGGCATTGTTGGATGATTCTAAGTATATGGCGGAGATACAGACAGAGGTTCTTAATTATTTCACGGAAAACACTCACGAAAACACCACGGTGGTTATCAGATGGCTGGCCCATAAAGTCGTATTAAGCCGAGTTTTGATTAAATTGTCTCTCAAAAAAATAGGAAGGTTGACACAACTCGATCACGGCTCCGCCAGGAATTGAGCACATTAGACGCACAAAACAATCAATCCCCCTCTACAGTTTTAAATAACAGAATGACTAAACTTAAACAGGAACTGGATTCATTAGCAGTTAGACAGACTGAAAACCACTTAAGAGCCCTTAAACTTGCGCATTATATGCATGGTAATAAAGCTGGAAAATTGCTAGCTAGAAAATTAAATTAAAAAAATATATCAACAATCTAAAATTCCCTACTTAAATTCAACTATAAATTCTAAGTTATTTAATCCAAATGATATTGTAGAGGAATTGGCGAGATATTACACCACACTTTATAATTTAAAAGATGATATGTCCTTACATGAACCTTCTAGCATGGAAATTGAAAAATGTATCGGGTAAATATACCTGCCTAGCATTACATCAGATCAATGCAAATTAATTGGTGAACCATTTACTGAAGAGGAGGTTAGGTTAGCAATTAAATCACTTGCTAAGCATAAAGCCCCCGGACCGGATGGGATTCCAAATTATTATTCTATTGTATTAGAGTCTGCCCTTACAACCTATCTTACGGCTTTATTTAGAGATATTAAAAATAGGGGTATTATTCCATCAGAGATGCTTGAAGCACATATTGTTACACTTCCTAAACGAGGGAAAGATCTGACAGAATGCGCTAATTTAAGACCCATCTCCGTTAATGTGGATGCTGAATTATATGCAAAGTTATTGGCTGCACATATAAAGCCACTACTTATAGATTTGATATCAGAGCAACAAACTGGTTTTGTGCCCGGTAGACAAATAGGTGATAACACAAGACATTTCATTAATATGGTAAACTGGGCATGGAACATACGACAAAAGGTGTGCTGCTTCCATTAGATGCTGAGAAAGCATTTGACCGTTTAAATTGGTCATATATGAGCAGCACTTTATTTAAAATGGGCTTTTCCTCTAAATTCTTAAATAGCATTCTAGCTCTTTATACCAACCCTTTCACAGAAAATGTAATACTGTCTTTTTGTCTCAAGCTTTTAACATCTCTAATGGAACACGATAAGGCTGCCTGCTCTCGCCGATTATTTTCATTTTTAATCTAGAACCATTAGCTAGATATATTAAACAAAACCCAAATTAGTGCTTTTTGCTGGGGATACCTAATATAATGATGTATTGTAAGGCATCATTACTGACACCAAGCTTGGCAGTTTTATCAGTATCTAATAAACCTATCTGGGTTAAAATGGAGGAAGCATGTATGCTCCCACATAGCCTAGACAGGTCACTGTGGTCATCGGAGATGCCCAAGGGAACTAAATACAATATATGGCCATCTACCAAGGTTATGCTTCAATATAAGAAACAATGGGCACAAAAATTATTGGGGACTACCAAAATTCTCGCTATGGCTCCGCTTAAGGTATTATCCGAATTTACATCGGATTTAGACCTTACAATTTGGATCACATGTGGAATCCTCAGGGTCAATAAACTCTATACATCCTCAGGGATTAAAAGCTTCCCAGATATTCAAACGGAATTTATGCTACCCATAAAAGAAATGTATACATATTTGCGTGTTAAAAATGTTCTACAATAATACAATATTACTAAGTTAGAATCTGGAACACTGCCCTCTTTGGGACGTATATGTACAGATACTGGTCTAAAGCTTAAACTCCTCTCCATGTGCTTTGATGCCATTAACGATTTTTCAGACAATTGGAAATTTCCATATATGCAGAAATGGGAGAAGGATGTGGGGGTCTTCATTCCTAAGACATTATGGTTTAAAGAAATAACAAACACGCCAAACCCAAAGGGGTTAGACAGATACACGACATTCCCAAGGGCATATGATATATGACTGATAATAGGTGGTGAAAACAGACGAGTCCCCGCAGACGAATACGAGCAACCCACATGACCCGCACTACACCGGGACGCCTGGCGCACAAAACAGACGGACACAGGGAAAAGGCAGGGGGTTAGAAGGGGGCACAGAGGCTAAAATATGAGATTGTAACACCTACATACTCCCTTCACCCTCCAATTGAGACGCAGGGATCCGCAACAAGTCAAAATTGAGTTCAACCATCAATGCACGAACACACCCAGCCACCTAATAAACTATGTTTAAGGGGATGTTTTATGGGGGGAGCAACCTGAAAAAAGTACCCGCTCGGATCTATGTATCTTGAAGCGTTATGAACCTTAGAGCGTTATTTAAACACTACTTTTTCCTTTCTTTCTGTATCACCTAATGTTTTGAAAAATAATCTAATAAACAAAGATTGACAAAAAAATAAAAAAAGCAATAATAATGACGATGAAATCATCAAGTAGCATTTCTTACTGGGAAGCGTACTGTAAGCTGACTATGAGATAGTACATGGTTCTCATATATATATTAATATTAGTGTGGATTTACCCCCAAAATGTTAAAGATGTGATAGAGAGGAAGGCTTACTGCTGCATGTCTTTTGGGCATGCCCAAGTTTGGATTATTATTGGAGGCAAATTCAATGGGTAATTTACACAGCTTTGGGAATAAAACTGAGTCTTGAGCCACAAATGTATATTTTACATGTATTTCCCGAGGAAATAGAGTTGCCATATTTTACAGTTATAATCCATATTCTCTTGGCTGCTAAAATGAGCATAGCATATAAATGGGGGGAAAAAACTAGTGCCCCTACTATTTAAGAGGTATTCGAGAGTGGAGGTAACCTCTCAGTATGAGAAAATGGCATATCGGGTAAGGGGTAAGATAAAAACTATGATAAATATTAGTGCAGATGGCAAAGAATTAAAGATGAATATATGGCACATTAGTTCACCACCCCGTATTTATTATTTATGTTGTAATATAAAACCATCTTACAATTTATACTTAAATTTAAATTGAATGTTAATATTCAAAACTCTATTAGAATACTGAAGATAATTATTCGTTAATAGATTGATATCAAAGTAGAGCTGTGTATTAGCATACAGAGGATTTATAATGATACACTGGTTGTGTAGATTAAATTATTATAATTTTTTTTTCAGTTTATAGGCCTGACTTCCAAAGGCTAAATAAATAGATACCAGCTGAATAGTTACCGAACAATTATGAACGAATATCTGATTTATGTTTATGGAAATTAATGAGCTGTTAAAACAATAACGGGTGAAACACATAGAGTATAAGGTTATTATTGCTTAAAACAAGTATGTTGATAATTTTATGGGTGATCCGTTTATTGTTCTAAATAATAGCTTTGAAATATAAAGGGGTATTGTAAACGAACATGCTGCATATTGAATGGTTATTATATTGTAATGTAATTTGTTCATGTATGGGTCTCATGAATTGGAAAGTTGTTGATGATGATGATGATATTATTATTATTGTTATTTTATTTTATTTTGCTTTGTATGTGTATTTGTCCTTATAAATATGAAAAAGAATAAAAAGATAATTACGAAAACCTACCTTTACCTTTCCCTAGCAACCCGTGGCTACCAAACCTACACCTGGTTTGTCACTTTCTGTGGTCTTTGCAAAATATAGCAAATACAACTCATACAGCCTGCATGAAAAAAATGGTTTAATTTTCAATCAGATCTTAAAACTCAGTGCTCTTACTTAAAAATTCTAATCTCCTGCTTTGTTATTGAACTTTTGTCAAACACAGCATGCTATTGCTCTAGAAGGAATAAGTGCAATAAGAGAAGTTTAAAATTTAGATCTTATACAGGAAGTGTGTAGGAAAGCTATGTGAGTCACAACCAAGGGAGGTGTGGCTAGGGCTGCATAAATACTGCAAAGTGTTTTTACTCCTCAATGGCTAGTCATTTCTGTACTCCAGATGTGGTGGACTACATCCCCCATAATGCTCTTACACCCATAATGCTGGCAAAGCATCATGGTAGGTGTAGTTTAAAACATCTGGAGTGCCGAAGGTTGCCTATGCCTGGTTTAGAGTCTTCTTGAGCACTCTCAGCCAATGATTGTGGTCCTGCATCAGCTTGCACAGGGTTCAGCAGCCCTTTTCTGCATGAGGGCTGAATGCCATGTTTGTAAATGGTTGTAGGGTTGCCTTCATAACAATAGTAGATAGCTCCCTCAATTTATTCCCTCATTTTTTTTATATGGGACTGCCATGTTTAACCCCTTCCTGACCAAGGATGTATCAGGTACGTCTGACAAAAAACGATCCTTAAGGATCGCGGACGTACTGGATATGTATGCGGGGAAGCAACTCTAATGGTATTGCAGTGATGCCTTGATGTTGAGGCATCGCTGCAATACCCCCCTCACAGCCGGTGGCCCCCGGAGAACACCGGGTGATCGCTCCCCCCAGAGCGATCACTTCCGGGTTGCTCCACGTAGAGCCCGGCAGTGAGGCAGAGCATCGGAAGTCATCAGGCAGGGGGTCGAGGCACTCAGTAATAAAAAATAAAAATAGTTAAATAATTAAAAAATAAATAAAAATAACCCTTACCCTCCCCCCCCATGTACTTACTGATCGCCGCTGTTGTATGTATGTATGTATGTGTGTATATGTATATGTATATATATATATATATATATATATATATATATATATATATATATGTATATGTGTGTGTATGTGTATATATATATATATATAAAACACATCATAATAAGTGTATTTTTATTTATATACATATATTAATATAAAAATACACTTAGAGTAAAAGTGTGTATGTAATGAATGCAGTGTTTTTGTGTAGTGTGTGTGTATGTAATGTTGTGTGTGTGTGTGTGTATATGTAATGAATGCAGAGTGTGTGTTTTAGGATGTATGTTAAGTGTGTAAAATGGGGGGGGAGGCGGGGGCGCATTTGAATTTTTTTTTTAACTTTTAATTTTTTTTATTTTAAATTATGTTTTTGTCCCCCAGTTTGTTACCTGGCCGGGGGTATATGGCATTCCCTGGTTGTCTGATTGCATGGACTGTGCAGTGGGGGGCCCAGAAAGCGCTTCCTTACCTTCCCAGCAGCTCCCTTCAGCTGTCTAGAGAGTTAGACAGTGGAGCTGAAGGGAGCTGCTGGGAAGGTAAGGAAGCGCTTGCTGGGCCCCCCAGGACCCTGATGCCGGTTCTGGTCTGCATCATTGGCGATACCGATTATTGCTGAAAATACAGAATATCAGACGATAATATCGGTTGATCCCTAGTAAATTACATTGTCTGGCTTCAAAAATGTCCCAAATAGGACATGGGTGCATGATGACCAGCTGTGAAAATTCCAAGTTGGAAAACTGGAATGCGCACCCTCCAAATAAGGTCTTTTAGCCCCAAGAGAACCCAACACACCTATACATGGGTGGTATCACTGTACTCAGGAGATGTTGCTAAACACATATTGGGGTGTTATTTGGCAGTAACCAATAAAGTTCTCTGTACATATATTCTTAAATTGCTATGTGTGTCAAAAAAAATCACCTATTATTATTATTTTTTTTTATTTGGCATAGATTGGTGGTAAATTGGTTGCATGAAAAGAGTCAAAATACCCCAAGTTTAATACCTTAGGTTGTCTTCTTTTAAAAAATATCTACATGTGAAGGGTTATTCAGGGATTCCTGTCAGATCTCAGTGTTACAATGTAACTTGCTTTAATTTTAAGGAAAAAAAATGGTTTGGAAATAGCAAAGTGCTACTTGTACTTATAGCCCCATAACTTTTCAAAAAAGCGAAGAACATGTTAACATTGGGCATTTAGAAACTATTTAGCACGGGTGTTTATTGTAACAGATTTTGAGGGTCAAAGTTAGAAAAGGTGTGTTTTAAAAAAAATTTCATATTTTATAAACAAATGTATAGTAAATTATATGATATGATGAAAATAATGGTATCTTAAGAAAGACCATTTAATGGCGAGAAAAATGGTATATAATATGTGTGAGTACAGTAAATGAGTAAGAGGAAAATTACAGCTAAACACAAACACCGCAGAAATGTAAAAAGAGCCCTGGTCCTTAACGGTAAGAAAATTGAAAAACGGTCTGGTCACTAAGGGGTTAAAGCAGCACTGTCAACCACCCCCTTCACCCCTTCCTAAAAAAAATAAAAAATAAAGAGTATTTTATAAAAATGGAATATTTATGAAATACTCATATTGACTGTTGGAATTTTGGAATTTCACTGAAATTCCAATCCAGTCAAGATATATACTTTGACAAAGTAGGGACAACTGTCTCTGTATACTTCCTACGCCTGACACTTCTAGATGGCAGTAGATCTGCCCTGTGCCTACAAGTGTTATTTTGCCAGTGATCACTGCAAGGAAGTAGCTTCATCTCTGGAGTGTCTCGCAGGATCCTACATAGACCTCAATTTTGCAGCAATGTCACTATTGTTTACAGTGCCACTTTAAGGATTGCAAATCAGGGAGCTATGTACCAAACAGCTAGAAGAATAAAGAAAATCTTTTCTTTACCATTTTGATCTTTCAGCCCTGTAGTAGATAATTCCCTGATTAGATGTGCTTATGGAAGATTCCCATATTTAAGGGGCTACTTCAACCACATATCTCCTAGCATTGCAGATAGACAAAAAGGGACACTTTATGTGAGCAAAATAAGGATTGTCACTCTTAAATAGGGACAACACTTGGGATCTATGCAACTACTATGACAACTTTTGCTTTTATTAGTAGAAATCTGCATGTGCAACATTTCAACTTAAAATGCTACAAATACAGAATTATATGCACCTTTGTACTTGGGTTAGTTGCACATATGACTAAGGCAGCCAACAACTCTGTTCCAAGCTACCTGATGTCAATTCTGTGCAAAAATTACATCTTTTGTGAGTGCACACAGCATGCTGGCAACAGACGTAATGAGCTTCTCCTTGCAGACAGTGTGCCTACAAAGGGAAATTTTGTGTCCCCTCCCTCCACTTCAGGGCATGCGGTGAAGCTGTGCAGGAAAAAAACACTCACAACCCAGTTTTCTTGCTGCTATCTCCCACCCAAACAGTATATTTGGTCAGAGTAGCCATTTGCCATGCAGGTAGGCAGGTGCCTACTCTGCCAAGAGAGACCCACACAAAGCACAGGGAAGTGACAGCCACCCACATTAAGCTCACCCTAGCCCCTGTTGAAGTTATATTCCTATAATTATTTTTTTTGTCATTTGCTGGCCTCATAAGGTTCTCTGGCCTCTGCTTTTAAAGTGGCATCCAAGTTCTCTTGCTTAAGAAAACTGGATATGTCACACGCAGTGCAGGGCAGAACCCAGGTAAATTGCTAAAAGTTTGACTGGCACTCCTGACACCACTACAGCGGACTTTATTTGTTATGGTTCTTAGAGTGCATCTATAACAAACACTAATTACTGGCCCTTGGGTTTTGTTTTTTTGTTTTTTTGTGATATAGTATGCTGTAAATTACACTGATTTAAAAAAATTAAATTAAAAAAAAATACATTATGTTAAATATGCAAAAAATAGAAATACAATGTATACATTTCTTAATATAGAATGGCTGTGCACCAGTCATGGTCCTCTCATTCTTGTGTATGGGATATGTAGTTTAGCTGATGGCCATAGTTCCACTCACTCATTGTAGAACTGCTGAATCTGCTGATGATAGCCGTTCTACTGCTGCTATCATCTCGGTTCACAATTTGTCTCCGTGTGTTTTCATGTATTTATTTTGCCTATCTCAACAGTAATAAGACACTGGTTATAATTTTCACCATACCAATGCCCTTAATGTCATAAAGGTGCACCTCAGGCACCATAGCCACTACATCTTACTGAAGTAGCTACAGTGCCTAGAGCATCTGGATGCCATCTCCCGTTTCTATCTTAAGAAGCCTAGATAATGTATTTTGGTGTGATATTCTATTTTTTTTTAAGAATAGCTTAGTTTGTTTACAGTTTATTTAAAGGGCATTTGGCATTATTCACCAATAATTACTTTATATTTCACCTTTTTCCTATTGCTACAATTTTGCTGTTCATATCCTGGATTTGCAGTTTACACAAAGGTATGTAAAGGTGTGTTGCTTGTGCGTCAAAGCTGGATTAGGTTTAACTGCATTAAGAGAATCGCATTAATGGCGACTCTAATTAAATACATTAGTCAACACACTCTTCTCACTTCTCAGTTTATATCTACTGCATTAAATATTTACCAGTGGTGCATTTTTGCCATGAACCTACAAAACCAGGAACAGCAGCTTTCATCCAAACATGGACAAAATACTAAATAAGGTAATGTTTTCCTTAATAACATTTTAATAGGAACTTTGAGTGCCATAATTAGTAATATATTTTTCATTTATTTTACACTTTCGGCTTTAAGTATATTATTTTAGTCTCTAGGTAACTTAAAAAGGTATATATAATATTCATATATTTCTGATTAACCTAGCATATAGATGCATGCCTATATAATTCATATCTTTCTATTAGTGTATAAAGTATTATTGAAGATTGATGGCATATTAAAGGTGGTGAAATATATAAACATAGTATAGGATTAAAACATGGGACTCCAAAGCTTTAAGAAGCTGTTAAGATGCGCATTGCCCCAGTATTGTGTTTTATTCTTGTGAGTACTTGATGAGTGTACAGTTTTTAAAGGAACCCTTCAAGCACCATAACCACTACAGTCTGCTTTAGTGGTTATGGTGCCAGGAGTGCCCCGGCACTGTTCCACAGTGAGATGTTAGAACATTTAAACATGTTTGACAACTTCACTGATTTCCACCAGGTGCCCATGCAGCATTGCTTTGTTGAGCAGGTAAAGCTGGATAGCTCTGTAGAACAAAGAAGGACCATGTGGGGCCATGCTCATTGTCTGACAGCATTCACCGAATACTTTCAGCCAGTGAGCGCAGGCCTATCGGCTGTGCTCTGTTTAACAGATACATCTGGATTCTCCCGTTGGAGAAGACTGAATGTGATATGGGTGCCCAGCAGGACCCAGGTAACTCACAAGTGGACATAGTCTTCAATTAGAGGGGCAAATGGTTGACATTTTTTTTCAGGAAGTATTACTTTACAGAGAGGGTAGTGGACGCATGGAATAGCCTTCCAGCTGAAATGGTAGAGGTTAACACAGTGAGGGAGTTTAAGCATGCATGGGATAGGCATACGTCTATCCTAACTATAAGATAAGGCCAGGGACTAATGAAAGTATGTAGAAAATTGGGCAGACTAGATGGGCCAAATTGTTCTTATCTGCCGTCATATTCTATGTTTCTATGGGACGGCAGAGCTCTCCATGACCAATACAGCAGGTGCTAGTAGTTATGGTGTTTGAAGTGAATTAGGCAGAGATGCTAGAATAGAATGCAGTCTGTTATATATCTCCGATATGAAACTTCAAGACTGAACTTTTTTTCCAGTAGCCAAAGGGGTACCTTGACAACCTGTTTAGTGACATTTCTTAATTCCATTTCTTAGTGTATGGATATTAATAAGATTCTTAAAAAAATCATTGGTTTTAAAACTCAAGGTCAAAATTAGGAGAATCACCCAAATTTCACTTCTTCTAATGTAACATGTATTTTGTTACCATTTTGACCCTCTTCATTGTACCTTGAGGCTCTCACAATATGGCAATTTTTGTTATAATTTGCTCAATTGTAATTTATCCACATGCAGGGAGCAGCATGATCACGTAGAGGTGGAACAAGACAGAGTGCAGGTGTTAAGCTATAAAGTTGGTTCCATGAAGATGTGTATGTCAGAATATTGTTATACAGCTGCTGTGCCCAACGTGGTCTTAGCACAGTAATAACACAACTAACCTCATTTGTTTCTTTATTTATTTTGTGTGGTTAGTGCACTGATTGAAAATATATATTGAAATGTACATGTAAACAGGGTAATTAAAAAAAAAATAAAAAAATAACTATTCTTTTCTAATGCATGGTGGCAATAGTCGTCGTTCCCCCAGTGTATATTCACTTTGCATTTCTTAAGCATAGTCTTCGCTGTATGCAGGCAAGTTGTGTTCAAGTACACCCTGAGAGCACAGCAGGGCCCGCATATGTTCCATAATTAGTACTATTGCCAGCTTTTTATTATTTGAGTTTTCAAACTTTTAATGTTTTATCTGATATTTTTGTGGAGCAAGTCAATTACAGTACTCTGACATAGCAGCCAAAATGTGAGAGAATTTATAAAAGCATTTCTTGCCTCCAATGTTCAGTTTATGCGGAGCCCTCATATATTAAATTTTTATTTTACTTTTTTCCATAATGGTTTGGACTTTTTTCAAATGTTAAGTATAAAAATCTATCCCCAATCCACCACCACAAAGGGAGCATCTTCTAAACAGAAGAAGAAAATCCGGTTGAATTTGCTCCTTTAATACTATATCCTACTCAAATACAGTTGTACTGCGATCATTTCTGCTTCAGTAGCAGATGATCCAACCCCAGAGATCCATCCCATTGTTATATTGCTGCAGTCAAGGAAGATTGCCCAAGGCATTGTATCAGATTTCAGCTCAATGCCTCTGGTTGCATGAAGCAGTAGGTGGCCATATTGTGCTTTTAATTTTCTGACTATATGCTGATAAATTGCTGTTTGGTTTTTATTTTCTATAGTCCAGTGAAGCACTATAAGTGTTACGGCATCTTTATATTTGTAACAACTTGTCTGAAATAAAACTTTCATGTTGGTGTACATAACCACTGCTATAGTGACCCGTTCAATTTAAATATAAAAATAGCCCAGCACACAGCAGGTGTCATAATTCTCCTAATATAAAAAAGGTACGTATGGTACAATCCATCTCATAGAGGGGTTTTCTGACCTGCAGGTTCACACACTCTGTGATCGGCTCAGCTTTTCACATTGAGATTATAGACAGGACTTAACCTTAAAGAAACACTCCAAACACCATAACCATTAGAGTCATACTCCCTACATATAACCCTGCAAAGAAACTTGAGTTTATTAGCTTCTCTTATTGCACTGTGTGTTTAATTTTGAATTTCTTATCCCCTGCTCTCTTGATTGCTTACTAGAGCCTGCAGTGGTCTTCTGTGTCTGATTAAAAATCACTTGGGAGATAAGAGAACAGGAGATAAGAATTTCTAAAGTAAACACACTGCTTTGTACAACTTTAGTAAATATGAAACTTTTTTTTATGGAGGTTGTATGAGTTGATTAGTGTGGAGGCTAGTGCATGATTAGTGTGGAGGCTAGGCATAGAGATGCATTGAGTTAGTGCGTGCATTCAGAGTCTCCATGCAGACAGTGAAAATGGTGAACAATGGTCCTGCAATCTTTGCAAACCCTTGTCCAGGAAGTTCCTTAGGTGGCCATCAGAGCCACTAGAAGTGGCATAAGGCAGAATGTAAACTCTTCCATTTCTGAGAAAAGGCTGTTTTTACACTTTGGAGACAATATATTTCTCCAGGACCACTACATTAAGATGTAGTGGTTCTGGTGCCTGTAGTGTCTCTTTAATTGACTTGAACAATAATTCATTGTTAAAGTTACCAATCTTAAAGGTACTCTTTATATTAACTTTACAAAGATGTGCGGGTCAGTTGGCCTGACAACGCTACAGTTTGGACAGGTATTACAGCAGGTGTTTTAACGAGAGAGAGAGAAAAAGAAAGATATGTGTAATAGAAACATATATTAAATTGTGTGCATTTTAATTCTTATCTTATCACTATGATCTTACAAATTTATAGTAGAGAGATTTTTATAATTGTTGAAGGTGTATGACTTGAGGTGTAGTTTAGGTGTGGTATATACCGAAAGAGAACAGGTTCTGCTAGTATCTAAAATATATTTCTATTATTGAAGCAAATACCTTGGACTTTACTTTCTTTTCCATTAAAAGGAGATGCCACGGCCGAATAAGCAAATTTTGGTGCTGGGGCTCGATGGATCTGGGAAGACGAGTGTCCTTAATTCCATTCTAACCAACAGAGGAAAGCACAGTACAGCACCAACTGAAGGATTTAATGCAATGTGTGTCAATACTGGAAATTCAAGAATGGAGCTTTTAGAAAGTAAGTAAGCAACGCTTGTTATGAACTGAAAGGGATAGGCACCAAACTATTTAAACTTAATAGAGCAGTTTTATGTATAGTGTATGCCCGTGCAGTCTCAATGCTTATTACTTTGCCATTTAGGAGTTAAAGCCTTTTGTTTGTACAGTCCTAGTCACACATCCCTGCATGTGACTTATGCAGCCTTCCTAAACATTTCTTTTAAAGCGTCAGTGCTTTCTAATGGGGAAGATCTAACGTGCGCATGGCACTCACCGCACATGCACATTAGGTCCCCCCATTGGCTGACATCTGTGGAATTGGGTAAGTATTTAAAAAAAAAAAAAAAAAAAAAGAAGCTAATTTGACACTTTACTCCCCACCAGAGAGGAGAGGGCAGAGGGTTCCTTTAGTGTTAGGAATACATGTTTGTATTCCTAAAACTAAAGTTTTTCTTTAAAGTTCAATTTACAGAACATGAGATACAAACTTCTAAAGTTAGTTAAGATCTTGTAAAAAATATACTATTTTTTTCTTTTTTTTTATGCAGGTTGTGTCAGTCACAGCCAAGACAAGTGTGACTAGGGCTGCATAAAAACAAGTTATGTAACTCCTAAATGGCAGAGAATTGTAAATTGACACTTTATTAAGTTAAAGTTGTTTTGATGCCTATAGTATTCCTTTAAGCAAAATGTTTACACCTAAAAACTCTTTTAAATGATTGTGACAATTAAATGTTTATTCCCATTTTAATGCCTTCCGGGGTTACTTCAACCACCATGACCACTTCGTGCCACAGTGGTCATGGCGCAAGCTGTTTGTATGTGCAGCCTATACAGAAAAATTTGTAAATTTGTGCCAGAGGGCAGTGACTGCACACTACTGTCACACGTGATTTAGTCATCCCAGAATTCTGTCCCAGACTGACTAATGTGATTTCAGTGCATAAAAACTTTCGTCCTTGGCATGTGATGGCAATGGGTCTAATGTGTTTCTTCTCTTGCAAGCAAAACTGTGAGCACACATGCACCGAGAAGCCTGTTTAATGTTAAATTTCCCCTGTCTCTGTGATGCCCACATTCCCCACCTCTCTAAATTATATTTCTGGCTCCTATATTTCAGCCTCTCCCTTTTTCTATCACCTTACACCACCCCTCTGTGCAAGCTCCTCGGCATCTCCAGAATTTGGAACTGGTCAGGCTTTAGTGGCATGATGAGCTTTCACTCAGCTTGCTCACAAGCACCCCTGGCGCGGGATTCATGGAAAGTTGTTTTTAGTTCTTGCCTTATTTTAAAGGGTTTTTAAACTAAACAAAAAACAAACAGGAGGGGATAAATTGACAACTCTTGTATGAAGACATCTAAAGATGTCAAGAGGTTTGTAAGAAATGTTGTGAAAGTTATACTCCCTTATAATAATGTTTACACAGTAGAGCATCCTCCTTTTCTTTTTCCAAGTTCATAAGTTGGTTGTTGCCTTAATTCTGGGTAATTTATTTTTTCATATGGTAGTGCTTTAAGCCATTCTTTCAGGGTTATTTACTAAAGTGAGAATTGTTTGAAATTTAACGGACTTGAAGAATTTTTTAAATCTGAAAATCACTTTGAATTTCCAATCATTCTAACTTTAGTAAAAACCCTGTTTGTCGCAGAAATCAGATAAACAAAATGTTTTCGGTGAAATATTTAGTTTTACAACTTGAGTGCTGAATCATGGACTATTGAAATGTATATCTTATAGTAAGAGTTCAAAACTTATCTTTCGGGGGGCGGAGCCTGACCGCGAGACGGGCTAGACGCCATTTCTGAGAGCTCCTTCCCGGCGAGCGAAATCCGCCGAAAATCTGACAAAACCAGACCCCATCCGAGCTTGAAACCAGCGGGTACAGATTGGGGACATCCCGCGGCACCGACAGATGCCTTTTCAATACACCCCGAGGCAGACCAAACCGAAAAAGAAGACCGGGGCCTACTTCACTCCGACGCTTGCAGACCTCGAGGCACTGTTTGGCGGAAAGGGCGCACATAGGGTAGCTGAGACCCCGGCTTACCCGGCAACAACTCTCCACAGTCCTACACCAGCAATGGGGAGACGTTCACAGAGGCCACAAACGTCCCAGGCACCGGAACAGCAGGACATTGGCACTCTCCTACAAAGGCAGGTACCATCCAAAATGGCGGCCACTAACGGTCCTGATCCCCATGCAACCCCTGACATGCCTAGCCAGACACACATCCCAGCAACACAGGGGGACCCACACCCCATGACTGGGGACATCCCTGGAGGCACAGCCCCTGCCACTAAGCAGGATCTCCACAATATGCAAAATACCTTGCTGGAAATACAGAGGCTCCTAACGGCAGACATGTCCTCCCTGAAATCTAACATGCAGCAGCTCAATGACAGGACAACTCACACTGAAGGGGACATTGGGAAACTCCAAAATGAAGTAGCTGAAATGAAAACTGCAATGGTCCACTTAAAAACCACACAACAGGCTATGTCAATTCAAATGACGGCATATGAAGATAGACATCGCCGTAATAACCTAAAAATCCGCGGGATACCCCCAGAGATCGATTCAGAGGAACTACCTCACTATACAAGGAGACTTATTGCATCATTGTTGCCGCCAGCGCTAGCTAAAAAATTCACTATCAGTGGACTGTACAGACTGCCCACCATCACTAAGACGGCAGTCCCAATCACTGGTGACGTCATCCTCCGATGCAATACATTACAAGATAAGGGCCAGATCATGGCAGCAGTGAGGGGTAAAACCCCATTACCATTTGAAGGATCGCACCTAACCCTCTACCAGGATCTCACGAAAACTACACTCCATTGGCGCAAATCACTGCAGTCACTCACCAGCCGCCTGCGCTCTGCTGGGATAACATATAGATGGGGCATGCCAAGATCCCTACTAATAGTACACAACGGGACGACCCACAAGCTTACAACTGAAGCGGAGGTACCTGCAATACTCCACACACTGGGCCTTACTGAAACGCCAACCGCAACCGCTGCTCCCCAAGCCGAACACACCTGGGACCCTGAATCAACGATCCCATTCGCACCGAGAACCACACCTATTACCTGACTGATCAAGAAATGGGCGCAACTATCCCACACGGAAGAACGAACGTTACCAGACCACCAAGAATACTGGCTTATATTATGCATTATACTAACCTCTGTTCAGATTTCTCTACACACACTGGTTACCTCACTCATACCCGTTAACAGACCCAGAGAGGGGCAGCCTCAGAAGCACCCCGCATACACATAGAATATACAACCTACCACCACCTGGTATACACACTAAACAGTTCCGGGAAAAGGCAGCCTCACGCCCGTCTCGCATACGCACATGAGATACACCCACAAGAGGTGTACAACACCCCCCCCCCCCGATGCCCCCTTGGTTAGGGGTACTTACCTACTGGGATAACCGAAACAAACCTCTGGCTAACACTACTAACACATTGGTTACCCACATGCTCCCCTCACCAACGCACTCATAACTTAACACAATGCTACAACAAAACCTACTAGTACTCCCATGTAAAAACAAAATGTGCGAATGTTTCCTAAGATGTTTTGTTAACTAACCCGTTACCAACCTTGTTACTCTGCATTATAATTACAGTGTCCGTCCTGGCTGTTGGGGCCGGACGTGATCGTGTAAAAACGAAAACGCACCAAAAATAAAAAAAAAAAAAAAAACTTATCTTTCATCCTCTTTCCATTAGCAAGTTGGCCTGGAGGGGAAAGTTCTTGAGTACCTGTTCCCACATAGCACATGTTGTTATCAGGTGGAGGGGGCGGTACCTGTGAGTGCTTCTCTGATTACTTGCATCTCTACTATTGAGCTTTACAACAAGCTATGGTTATCCTGGAGGAGACTCTCTTTTTTGTTTTTTTGTTACTACAATAAGGGAAACACCAAATGTTTAACCCCTTAATTTTCCAAGTTCTGAATCCAAATAGCACCTAGAATTTATGCCATGTGCTTATTCCACCATAATGTAAGGGTTTATCTTTAACCCTAGCACTCTTTAAATGCTCCTATACATATTATTATATTCATTTTAAAGAACAGAAAGGCTTTCTTTTAATGTTATATGTGTGTTCCTAACACAACATTAAGCGTAAGTAAAATGTTAAAAGTGGGGGGTGAGGGGAAAGCAATTTTTACCACACTTGTTATTTATAATTTTTACACATCCAGTGTAACTAAATAAAAAGAACTCAAAATAACATTTACATGTCAGTCCTATCTCCTTCCACAAATGCTATACCAACCCTTACCCTATGCTTACACTAACACTATCCATATACCTCATCTTATTCCTACACTATTACTAACCCTAAAACGGCATCAACATTTACCTAACAATAACTCTAGCTTAACCCCTCAGCTAACGATACTACTACCCATAATCTTAAGAAAACACTCTGTTAATATCAGTAGTTATATCAGAAAATGGGATTTCTTGTAATAACAGTAGTGAGTGGTATGTTACTGCTATCTGCTGACTTTTTTCAGTATTACAGAAACATTTTGTAACTGAATCAAGCATGCTTTCCCAGCCATGTACACTGTGATCGTTGCTGGGCAGCTGGAACTCCAATCACAACTACAATCACATTGGCTGTGCTGCAGTGTTCCCAAAGGATTTAAATGGCTGTAGTAGCGCTCACTTTAAAGGAGTTGTATACAGGGTATTTGCCAATGCGGGACCATTACAAATAGCCCCAGCTGTCAGCCCCACCCACCCAGGTATCATACCTGGGACTCCCTAATATGAGCAGAGATTTAACCCTGCTCACACCAAAACTGCAGGATGTTCCCTGCCGTCCTACCAGTGTAAAAGTTTTTACTTTGTGGAGGATGGCATGACCTGTCCTTACATTATTATGTTATTTATATAGCGCCAACAAATTCAGCAGCGCTTTACAGTGGGTGGATGAACAAACATGTAGTTGTAACTAGACAAGTTGGCTGAGGGCCCTGCTCAATGAGCTCGCATGCTAGAGGGAGTGGGGTAAAGTGACACAAAAGGTAAGATAATATTCAACTAATGACAGTTGCAAGAGAGGAATCAGTCGGGAGCTATAAACAGTTTGATTGATACGCTTTTATGAAGAAGTGGGTTTTTAATGATTTTTAGAAGGAGTGGAGACTTGGTGAGCATCTAACGGAGGAGGGACGTGAGTTCCACAGGAACCGTGCAACCCTGGAGAAGTCCTGAAGGCGAGCATCAGAGGTGGGAGTAAGGACAGAAGATAGACCGAAGTCTTCAGCAGACCGTAAGGGCCAGACTGTACATACTTGTGTATTAGGAAGGATAGATAAGTGGGAACAGCATTATGTAGAGATTTGAAAGCAAGAGCCAGAATTTTTAAATTGAGCCCTATATCTTGCAGGAAGCCTATGTAGGGACTGACAAGAGTGAGGCGTGGGCGGTGCGGCCGGACAGGAAGATGAGCCTCGCCGCCGCATTCATTATGGACTGTAATGGTGCAAGTTAGGAGTACGTAAGACCACTGAGAAGCGGATTACAGTAGACAAGGCGAGAAAGGATAGTGGAATGGACCAACACCTTAGTCGCAACTGGCGTTAAGTAGGGGCGCATGCGCGCAATGTTTTTTAGATGGAAATGACAGGATTTGGTGATAGATTGAACGTGAGACTTGAAGGAGAGGTCGGAGTCAAAGAGAACACCTTGGCAGCGAGCCTGCTTGGTGGAGCTGATGGTAGCACCGTTGACTTGGTGGGAGACACACAGGAATAGCAACACTTGAAGGAGGAAAGACCAGAATTTCAGTTTTGGTCAAGTTGAGTTTAAGGCAGTGGGCAGCCATCCAGTTAGAAATAGCAGAGACACTAGTCAAGAGGGACGTGGAGAGATCAGGAGAGGACAGGTAGATTTGCGTGTCATCCGCATAGAAATGATATTGGAAGCCAAAGGAGCTAATGAGTTTACATTGAGAACTAACACTTATGCATGCTTGTTTTATATTATGTTTTTCTATATATGTGTGGAGAATGTATGCATTATGTCT